TAAAATTGAGGAGTGATAAGATGTCAAGGAATAGGGAAATAGAGAATTGCAGCTGTAATCAATAAGTTAAAGAAGAACTTAAAAGAAATCGAATTGAATAATTAGTTAATTGGAGGAGTTGCTGAAGAAATGTAAAACAAGGAAGCAGAAAAAGGGAGGTATGGGGAAGTCCGGGAAGTAAGGTGTATGAAAACAAGTGTATGAAATTATACATGTTTATATGTTTGTATGTCTGTGTATTGTGCATTGTTTGTTTTTATTTTGTGTTTGGAAAACCAATAAAAATTTATTTTTTTAAAAAAAACACTATCATGATTCACACCACTCTTTTCAGTTAACCTGCTTACTACCGTAATAATTATTTGTTTTAACTCATTACTGAATGTATTTTAAAAGGCAACTATCGTCAAACAAGGAAAATAAAAAATACCAACATAATTTTGTGATTTTACAAAGCATAATATAACTAATAATTTTCTTAAATTATTTGGGGGGGAGGGGGGGAGTGGAGGGCGAAGGATAATGGGGGGGGTGACTGAGTCTCCCAAGTAAGACAAATGCTGAAAACAGCTAATATAACGATAAATGCAAGGCAAATAAAACTATAAAATAAAGGCACAACCGACAACAATAGGACGGAAGGTCAATATGAGCCAGAAGGGAGCCGCAGCACGGGGAAGGGTAAAACTATAAATTAAAGGCACAGCCAGCAACCATAAGGGGGGAGGGGGTTGGTAAGGGAAATCAGAGTCAGGAGGGAGCCACGATGGGGGCGGAGGGTGCCTGTGGGGGTAAACAAAGCACGGAGAGAGACACAAGGGGTTTGAAGGACAATGGAGGCTTGGGTCCGTGTAAGGTAAGCAGCCTCAATGTAATGTCTGCAAAGAGATGCCCACCTTCAGCCATTTTAAGCACAATTTCAATGCCTGCACCCCCAACCAATGCTAAGACCGCTCAAAATCAGCAGCTTGAGGAGCAGTTTAAAGAGAAGCATTGCTTCCGGGAAGGGAAAAACTTCCGGAGGTACACACAGACCCGGTGGGCAAATATACCCCCCCACGAACTCTGCGCACACACACCAGCAGATTCAAAGTAAAGCGTTTCTGCAATCGCACAAACACTCAATATATCCACACACAGTCTCAGGACACACCCCACAGATTTAAACAATCGCTTCTGCAAACCCACAGACTCTCCAATTAAGGAAAGCCTTTAGCAGTAAGAGGGGTAATATTAGCAGAGTAGAATTAGCACCCACAAAAACGTAGCAGTGAAAGCTCCCCCGCTTTTTTCCCCAAACAGCGCAGCAACGTTGAAGACACACACACACTCCAAATTAGCTAAACAAGGAGGCTAGATGGGATGTACAAAGAGACTCCCCAGATAGAGCAAATCAACACACACACACTCCACTTGCACACACAGAGGCACTCAACCCTCCCAAATCAACTATCGTAGAGAAAAGGTAAGGCAAAACTTCTCTGTTAAAGCTTCTCTTCTTAGTCAGATCCACGTGGTCGTCGCTGCTGGGAACGAACGGGGGAGGCGTTAAGCTGCTAAACACGCCCACCGGAGACACCTGGTTGGCTGCCTCCGGTGGGCGTGGGTGCCAGCCCAGGTGAGGAGGGGCGGGGGCTAAGGCCCCCGGTCAGGAGGCGGAGCTCGGGCTCCCGCCCACAACCACTCCCCTCTCTTCCAGGGAGGAGAGTCTTAATAATTTTCTTAAATTATTGCGGGGGCAGAGCCCCCCCAAACGAATTATTGAGGGGGCTCAGGCCCCCTCAGGCCCCATGGAGTCGGCGCCTATGAGTGTGATCCTGTCCTCTGGGGTGTTAGCCACCCCTCCCAGTTTGGTGTCATCTGCAAATTTGATCAGGATGCCCTTGAGTCCATCATCCAAGTCGTTGATAAAGATGTTGAATAAGACCGGGCCCAAGACAGACCCCTGTGGCACCCCACTAGTCACTCTTCTCCAGGATGAAGAGGAACCATTGATGAGCATCCCATCAGATGTCAAATAGATAAATAATTACCTGATATTCAGAAGACATCTTAAGGCAGCCCTGTTCAGGGAAGTTTTTAATATGTAACGCTGTACTGTTTTAACACTGATTGGGAGCCGCCCAGAGTGGCTGGGGAAACTCAGCCAGATGGGCGGGGTATAAATAATAAATTATTATTATTATTATTATTATTATTATTATTATTATTATTATTATTATTATGAGCACCCTTTGGGTTCGGTCAGTCAGCCAGTTACAAATCCACTGAGTGGTAGCATAGTCAAGTCCGCATTTTACCAGCTTCTTTACAAGAATATCATGGGGCACCTTGTCAAATGCCTTGCTGAAATCAAGGTAGGCTACATCCACTGCGTTCCCTTCATCTACCAGGGTTGTAATTCTGTCAAAAAACAAGATCAGGTTAGTCTGACATGACTTATTTTTCAGAAATCCATGCTGACTATTGGTGATCACAGCATTCCTTTCTAGGTGCTCACAGACTGTTTGCTTAATGATCTGCTCCAGAATCTTCCCTGGTATTGATGTCAGACTGACTGGGCGATAATTATTTGGGTCCTCTCTTTTCCCCTTTTTGAAAATAGGGACAACATTTGCCCTCCTCCAGTCTGCTGGGACTTCGCCTGTAATTGGAGCTCTCCACAGAGGACCGTGCGATCAAGCATCAAATTCTCCAATTTTACCATTCCTCCTGCATTTCATTTAGATAGTTGATTCTTTCTTGGTGAGGTTTGCCAAATCATGAAGTAACAAATGTAGAAATATAGAAACAGAAACTACCGCTCACCTCACTTAAATCACAGCACAACAAAAAGTCTTTTTCAGATCAAAGCCTTGGCACCCAGTGACTGATTTATTTAGCAGGTCTTTTTTATTGCCTTCATTCCAGAACACGCCTGTTTCTTAGTCTGAATTTTAATAGTTTTTTGAGGAACAGGGATCCTCCCGCTCATGGCGATGACTCTGGAGAGTTTCCAGTTTGTACAGTGCTCAGTGTCCCTGCCCCTGCATTCTGTAGTGAGCGGCAGTTATTGGACGAGGTGATGGCAAGCCCCCCTACCCTGGGGGGTGGGTCGGCAGGGATAATATGCCATGGCAGGAAACTGGTGAGAATTTTTGTATATCTAATTTTTTCTATGTGTTTCACATTTCTTCTTTATGACTTCTGTTGTAATAAATAATCCTTCATAAAAGTTATTGCATTGCATTCTTCATTGAATTATCTTTCCATTGACATATAACTTTATGGTATTACTCCAAAAAGTGGTGTTATAAGCCATCAAACCTCAGAAATACAGTTTTACCAACAGGTTTCTACAATGTCGACCACTAGTGTACTTTTGATGTGAGACACCAAAGTTATAGAGAGTATGAGGTTGAGGGAGAAAAGATGTACGGGGGTGGGGTAGTGAACTTTCATTATTTTACATCATGTACATGCAAGATTTTTGTGTCAGTGTCATGTGGGTAGGTTCTTTATCCATTCATTGATTAGTTTTCATTGGCGGTGGGAGATGGAGACCATTCACACATGAGTCAACTGTTTGGGCTCGTCCACACTTTCGCTTATGTCATGACTAGAAAGCATGCATCCAAGCAGTTTTCCAGTTGACCAGAGCTTTCTAGGCACGGAAATCCGAGTGATTTCCCCCGTGCCTTACCTCCAGGGAAAACCAGAATTGCTATTTGTTCCAGTTGAGTGCTAAACAGCGGTTTTTCCCAGGGGAAAGCAGTGGGAGAAGGGGAAGTGTGGATAAGCCCTGAGTGTTGATTCAACAAATAATAATTATTATAAATGTAGTACAAACCAGGTGAAGTTGGAAGGGTGAATAAGATGCAGGAGCAGCCTGCTGGGAACGTGAAAGCCAGCATAATTCTTAAAGCAGAGAGTTGCAGAGTTTAGCACACCTTGATTTTCATGGAATCAGATTAATCTGAATATACTCCTTGCTTAACTTTCTGAGGCCAGTTCAAATCAAATCCAAAAACTGATATTATAGTATTATAGCAGTTGATACAAACCTATACACTGATTTAATTGTAAGTGAATTAAAATGGTACCTCCGGTTGCGGACGGGATCTGTTCTGGAGGTCCAGTTTGATCCCAAGGTTTCCACAACCCGAGGACCGCTTCTGCGCGTGCACATGCGGCGAAACCCGTAAAATACTTCCAGGTTTGCCGCGCGTGCATCCCAAAGTTTACGTAACCAGAGGGTTACGTAAACGGAGGTACGACTGTATTAACGTATGTCTTGACCATATAGTTGGTGGTAGAGCCATCATGCAAGAATAGTATACCTTTTATCAATTCATTCAACTAAATGGGTGTGTGGGTCGTGCCAGTTTTAAAGTATTGATATATAAAATAGCTGTTCTGCAATATTCTGTCACATTCTGATCCTCCAAACCTCAAAAAAGCAGAGGGCAGCCAATATGATATGCAGATTATTAGATTATTTCCTCTCTAATCAAAAGCTCCCTAAGGTGTGGAAATATTATTTATTTTCAACATGATTGGAATCAGTTTCTTAATTGCTGTGGTGGACTCATTCCTTACATGCATCTCTTGGAAGCAAATTCAACTCACAGCATAATGGATCTAAGGCCAAGGAGGTGGAAGGGATTTCTGTAACTCCTTGCCCTCCCATGAAATCATTGACACAGGCCAAGGAAGGATGGGGTTCGGCTTGCTTCTAGAAACCTATCCATGTCTTATGCTTGTCAGGCTAGATAGGTCATGGTAAGTTTGATGGGGCTACACGGTTGGATCAGTAAGGTAGAGGAGTGAGGCAGGGGTGAAGCATGAGGAGGAGGAGGAGAAGTATAATGGCAGGATCAGGAACTTCTTCCAGAAAAATACTCTACATCCATAAGAATAATTGGCATATAAAAGCACATATAATTTTTCATTACATTTAATAAGTTGACAGCTGGTGTGTTTCTAAAACCCATTCCTTTCTCTGTTACATTTCCATTTAGAAATGGGTAACCACATATGAAGATCATTTGTCTCAACCCTACAGAATTAAAGAATATAAAGAACTAGACATTCGGAAGTCTCTGTTGGATGAAGATAATTTTGAAATAGCTGTTATTGGCAGGTATTTCTGGAAGCTTTTGAATCCATACTCAGTATTCAAATAATACTGCATTATAGGATATAACACATTGTGAATTCCTGTTTTCACCCCCTTTTTCTTCATATCTTACGCTATTTGTATGGCAAACATTTGAGTGCCATTAATATTGGATGCCAATAATTTCTACATTTGCTCCAAAGTATCTGTGTTAGAGGTGGTAGTTCATCAAAAGTAGAATGAGAAACTGGCATCCTCCATTAAATTTGTTTAGTTCAGAATTAATGTTGTACCTTGCCTCTTTGTGCTGTTGAGATGGAAAGTTATGCTCTATACTAGAGACATTTGTCAGGATGAGAATAGTTTTGCTCTTCAGCTACTGCTAAGCAGTAAAGTTTAAAAATAAATAAATGTTTGAACCCGTCTGTCACATTTCATCCAGTAGAGAGCAGTAGTGACCACTTGCAAAAATGCCGTGTGGTAACCCTACAGCTGTGTCAAAAGCAACAGCATTTTATTGTAGCATGAAAACATTGTGGCAATAATGTCTCTTAATAACTGAGTTCGATCCAATGACTACTGATCATTTATTTAATACCCACCCACTCATGGGAATTGAATTCATCATAAAACACTTAATATCTGACTTGCTTAATGCTTTATTGTTTTGCTTGAAGTCTGAAAAACTCTCTTTTTGCAGGGAGACAGGGTTACCTGAAACAGGTCCTGGAGCCGTATTGCCCTGTCACTCTCCAGATCACTTTAAAATGTTAGTACTTGCAAAATTGTAATAACTAGATAATTTATGATCAGATTCTGTACTGCATTTTAAGGGTTGGAAAGATCTATAATGTTCACAGAGAAGTAATTAACAACCACTGTTTTTGCATTGGATAACATGTGACATGTGTGCACTAGTTTCAGTTCCAACATAGTTAATTATTTTAGTGGTTGTATTTTGCATTAGAATATTAATCATATTTTTTATTTTCAAGCAAGGAAAAATACGAACGTTTCCTCTCCATGCTGCTTTGTTAAAACTCTTGTGATATCTTATTTTCCTCTTGAGTTTGCTTCCAATACTTGCATAGGATACTTTGAAACTGCTTAAGAAGACTGGAGTACCCATTTCTTCATTAAATGCATTGGCATAATTTTGTATTTTGAAACACAATGAGAAGTTTTCTGTTGCTTTTGACCATGACCCAGTGAAATATTTCCCTGGCAATTAAGGATTCAGTACCCGGGAATATATGTACAGTATAGGATCTCACTGTAAGTGATGTTAGTGTTATTACTGGAATAGTCCCAAATAAATGGTTGTATGTTCTGTCATAGCACTTCCACTTTCTGTTCATTTGTGTATGCAAAAGAAAATGGATCTGAGGAATAAACCTTGGCTGCACAGTCTGGGTTAGCACGGAGAGAGCTTGTTCACACCATATGCTAAGCCCAGCTTCAGTGCTTTGTGGAAGTAGAAAAGACAGGCGTGGAGCAAACTGGCTGTGAGCTCCTCCCTGGGAACCTGCAGATTTGCATGGTCCCAGGAAGCCATAGTTTGGCTGACCATGGTGTGCAAATCAGGCTTTTAGCTCATGGGTTTATGTAAACATTTTGAGATATTTTTTGAGGAAAGTATAATTTTCTTCTAAAAGGTTTTCTGGCTAGTAACTGGTTTTGTCTGCTTTTGTTTTGAATAAAAAAAAGCTGCAGTATTTACCTTACTAGAATTACAAGCAATTTATGTTCCAAAACATAAACTTTAAAAATGATTAGCATTGTGACTGAGACTTGAGGAAAGTAGATGACTAGCATTAACATTTGAGAGAGGCTTTGAAACTGAAAACAGCAAATTAAATGACCCTAAACAGAAAGGCAGTGGAGCAGTAAATCAAATCCAGAAGGCCAGTGCTACTTTAAAAAATAAATTGAATTAAATCTGAGAGCAAAGGAGGGCAAGATTATATCCAAGACTGGGGGTTGGACTCAATGGCCCTTGTGGTCCATTCCAACTCTATGATTCTATGAATGTGGCTTCAGTCAGTTGTTTGTACTTATTTCATACATGTATACAGCTGGATTGTTCTTGTATCTGCCTCGTTCATATATCAAGTATAGGGTTGGGTAGGGTCTGATTTCTACATCAAAAGGTGCATATGAGCAAGGAAAGCTAAATATATCTTGTGCTTGGGCACTTTTCTTCACCTGGGTTCCAGTCCTGGAAGTGAATGAGATAAGATTTAAGTGAGGGGCAGAAGGTGGCAGCCCTCTTTAGGGAAGCTTTTAATGTTTAACAGACTACTGTATTTTAAGATGCCCAGAGTGGCTGGGGAAACCCAGCCAGATGGGCAGGGTATAAATAATAAATTTTATTATTATTATTATTATTATTATTATTATTATTATTATTACATATTCTCTTGTAACTTGTTAAAATTGTAAACAGAGACTTTGGGTCAGGGCTGGAAATTCCAGTGTCCACCTACATCAATCCTTGTACTGCCATGGCTGTCCAAATGCCAACTTGGCCCAATCCATTCCTACCCTCCTAAGAGCCATATTCTGAAATTGATTGGCAGCAGTTGTGGGTTTGTTCAATTTTCCTCTAAATCGCTTCAAGAACTTTCCAGCTGTATACATGTATGAAATAACTACAAACAACTGACTGTTCATATGAATGTAGTGCTCTGCCTGTGCCATCCTCTCATCCATATAGGGATGCCAAGGGCCATGAGAACTGTCCCAGCAAAAAAGCAGTGCTTTGGAAAACTCATATCTGGAACTGTTCTGCTGTGGGCTGTGTTGGTGAACTGGGCCATCAGCTTTGGGATTCTCCAGTTAAAAACAGGCTGAGAATAGATCAACTTCTGTCAGAAAATTCCAATCGAGTGCAACATGTTATATGACAAATCACAGGAATACTTCTATTTTCATTAGCATGACACTTTTTGGCAGTTCACTGGAAGTATTACTCTTCCTGTGCCTCAGGCATAGCTGCTAAATTTTCCTAGTACTGAAAAACAATTGTGGGGGTTCTGGAAATTAGCAAATCCAAAGGAGAATAAATTCTGTAAAGTATAACTTGACTCTAACAGCTATGCGAACACACACTGAAAATACCTTTTCCCACTACTTTGGTCTTGCTTACTAAAAGATCAACGTTAACTATATCTTTTTAATTGTTTTTCTAAGAGCTTTAGAGACAGACAAGTTAAAAACATTCCACAAAAGCGAGGTATAATATATACTCTCTGTGTTACAGGTTTCTAGATACAACATACCAAACAGATTATGTTCCACCATATGACTATGAACCATATGTAAGTATAAGAGCAGAATGGTTGCTTTCTACCATGCTTTACATCAAGGCCTTCATGTGTAGAACAGTAGCCATTCAGAGGTTGTTTCAAACAGGCTCTACCAGGTAAATGAAATATATAGATTCACCCCAAGATAGTCAATTTTACATATATTACATAGCAATGAAATTGGATAGCAGCCCAGTTTGCACATAACATTAAGCCATACCATGGGTATGTGTGAATGAGAAAGCATGTGGGAACTCAAAGCAACAGTTTGAGGCCCTTGCTCCTCCCTGATCATGCTGCTGCCACACTACCTAGTGCTGAGTAATTGTTGGCCTTAACCTAATGTCCAGACTCAGGCCGGTGGCAGAGGTGGGGGGACAGGGGAGGCACCCATTGCCCAAAGTGGTTTCTTCACCCCACCTTATGGGCCAACCCCACTGTACACACCCTGTGCTGTCCCCAAATCTGCTCTAGAGGGTTAGGGACAAAGTTGGGTGGAGGAAGAAGATTCTGTCATGCAAGGAAAAATCCTTGCGTTGATAGAATGTTAACCTTGGCGCTACCTTGAACACAACCCATAATCTTTAACTGCATTGCAAACCTGGTGTATTATTTGTTGGCCTCTAGTAGCAGTGAGAAATGTTAACTTTACCACTTAAATTGCATTGATTAATTGTGTGTGTGTGGAATACAGAGTTAAGCCAGTAAATGAGAAAGGAAAGTGTGTGGATGAATCATGGCTTGCTCTGGATCCCTTCCTTTACGCGCCAGGGATTTTAGCAGAATGGGAATCATGGCCAGATATTTTTGTAACCATGGCAACTCATAAAGGAAAGTGTTTGTCAGTACACATTTCAACTGTGATCATGATGAACACTCTCTGTCTCTCTCCCTCTCCCCGCCCTTCTGTCTCTCTCATATGCACTTGTCACGGTGTCCCGTCAGACACCACCAGAAGTGGTTGAGTCATTCTGGCCACATGACCCAGAAAGCTGTCTGTGGACAAACACCAGCTTCCTCAGCCTGAAAAGCGAGATGAGTGCCGCAACTCCATAGTTGCCTTTTACTGGACTTAACCGTCCAGGGGTCCTTTTGCTGTTGTTTAGTCATTAGTTGTGTCCGACTCTTTGTGACCCCATGGACCAGAGCACGCCAGGCATTCCTGTCTTCAGGGGTCCTTTACCTTTTACCTTTTTTACCATATGCACATCCTTTGGACATTTTGATCTCATTAAGCATACCAGTGCAAGGTTCTGCTTCAAGTTAATGTGTAAAATGCATTTGCCATTATTAGCATCCTTGGCTCCTCAAGCTCCTTCTAAGCATGCCTAGGCACCCTCTATGTCTCCTCAATCTCTGCTACTATCACATAGTTTCTTGACTATTTAATTTAAAATATTCCTTACTTATGCGTCATACAAAGATTCCAGGAGAGTGTACTTAAGCACAAATAAAAACTAATTAACATAATTTTAAAAATGCAGCAAAATATAACAAGACAAAATCAAATAGAAACCCCAACAAAACCATCTACAATTTTAAAAGGCTAAAATACCTGGGCAAGTAGGAATGGCCCCACCAGTCAACAAAACCAGGTGTGTCTCCTTGGCAAACACATTAAAATGTTGACACATCAGTACAAAAAGACATCTGCTTTATATAACATAATCCACTGAAGAGGGTACCTGGAGCAATACTGGAACATATCTTAAGACGTAGGCATCCTCATATGGCAAGATGTCATTATTCAGGTATTTGGACTCCAAGCCATTTAGGACTTTAAAGTAAGGACCAGCACCTTAAATTAGGGTTAGAAGCAAGTAAGCAGTAGATATTTCAAAATAAGTGAAATATGAACAACCTCAGCTATACCTGCCAACACTCTTGCAGCCAGATTTTTCATGAATGGAAGCTTCTGGGGATGTCTTTAAGGGCATCCCCCTGTATAATACATTAGTGATCAAACAGAGAGGTTCCCAGAACACAGATCACCAAAGCAGGACTCCTTATTCAGGAACAGTTGCAGTTGCAAACCAGCCAAAGTTGGTAAAATACACCCTGGGCCACTGAGGATCCAATGCTGGGATCAGGGAATATCTTCAAACTGTGTCTCTACCCTTTCAGGAAGAATGAAATCTCACCCAGATCAGGACAAACACCAATTTTCTGAACCTGAAAACTACCCACTCTCAGTGCCTCCATCTTGTTGAGATTCATGCTGCCAGTTACTGAGTCCAGACACCAATTCGGCTCTTGCATGCCTCACCTGACTCAGATGAGAAAGAGTTGAGTCTCATTGGCCTACTGATGGCCCCTCGCTACAGATGTTGAATGACTTCACCTGTGGAGCTTTGTAGGAACTCAGTGAATTCCCTGCCGTCTTTGCTCTTAAGGCTGGATGGTGGAAGAGGAAATATTGGGGATCAAGGCAGGGCATGGGCTGTGGTCCTTGTGCTGCGCAGCTCAGACAAGGCATTCATGAGCTGAGGCACTACAGTCTGCTTTGGGACTTTTGTAGGTTCTTCCAGGTTCTCAGTTGTACTGGGGGGCCTCTACAATTTCCTTTCATCAGATTAGGTTCCCCATTGTCAGGCCACATCTTGACAAAACCTCACCAAGAAATAGTCTGTTCAAGACATTGGGCTGACAGAGAAGCCCCTGATTTCCAGACTGTCCACTTTCTGTGGCGTCAAATATACAAGATCCAAAGTGTATCCTGCAGAACGTCATGCGGAAACCATCGTGGTCATGGTGGGCATTAAGTCCCTCCAAGATGGACACAATGTGAATATTGAAACCCTCCAGAACAAGCCCCCTTCCCTTCTGGTCCTTCCCCTTTGTTCCTCTTCCTTCAGCTACTCTGTCTCCTGAGTCTCCTGACAATTAGATCCCTTGCTTCCTTAGTCCTAATGTATCCTGCAGGGAATAATAATTTTTCAAAGTAGTTTTTGCAGTTACATCAAAAATTACTGATTTGGTTATACTACTAGAAATACATTGACAGATAATTATGAAATTGTGAGGTTTAATAAGTTAACTGTCTATATTTGGACAACTTTTCTGCTGTACTTTATTGGAAGGAGAATAATAATCATTTCCTTAATAACAATTCAAACAATTTATTTAACTAAAACAATAACATTATAGCATATGTATCCATGTTTGTTAACTGATGTGGTTAAACAATTTAAAAAAAAACCCACAACCTTAGACTGAGTTTTAGCACACATGAAAAACTTAAATCCTTATTTCCTGATGAATAGCCTTTGGACTATAATGTAACTTAGATAGAAAATTATCTTTAGAAAGATTTTCCCTCCAAAAGCATTTCATTTTAAAAATCCAATTTAAATTTAAAAAACTGATTTTTTAAAAAAATCTGTTTTTTAAACATTTTTTTTGAAAATCATTGATTTTTATCCACCCTGATGCTACTACATCACATAAACTGAGCTATAATGGTAGTAGGGAAATAGCAGAGCTGTTATGTTTCTATTAGCTAGTTATCTTTTTTAAAAAAGGCTTTTTTTCTTTTAAAACAGCAAACATAACCAATGGTTTTTATTGTTGTTTTTAAAACTACCCATCAAACAAGAAATGGCGTGGTATTTACATTTCTTGTCTATAGACTTGGTGGGTTTTTGCTTGAATTCTGGTTTTACATTTATTTATTGAAGCTTCCTTCAAGCTCTAGGCAATGACAACAATGTTAAATACTATTAATTTCAGAAAGCCCTCCTCTAATTTCATGATCCAACAAACATCAGCATCACTTGCAGGGAATAAGGGGGATAAATATCCCCCCCCCAACAAACAGCTCATCTCCATCTACTATCCTTTTTCTAGATCCCTGTAGTACACATAAAGGAAAGATAGCTTTCACGTACAAATTATCTAACTGAATAACAAACTGAACTTTTAAAATAAGACTGCAATCCTAAGCATGCTTACTTGAAAATTAGCATAATCAAAATCAAGAGGATTTACTTTAAATAAAATATGTTTAGGATGAGAAGGATAAAGTGAAATATTTTTCTCTCTGAAATTTACCATGGGATATAGCTTACCCCCAATCCCAGAAATTCACTCCTCCTTCTTTGCTCTTGGTTTTCTGAAAATTATTTTCTGTTGCTGTCACCGGGAATAAAGCTTTAAAAACTGTTTGCTTTGTTGCCCTAGCACAGGCTTCTTCAACATCGGCCCTCCAGATGTTTTTGGCCTACAACTCCCATGATCCCTAGCTAGCAGAACCAGTGGTCAGGGATGCTGGGAATTGTAGTCTCAAAACATCTAGAGGGCCGAGGTTGAGGAAGCCTGCCCTAGCACTGATTTTCAATCTATTTTATCTGCTGTGAAAATGGTAGCTATTCTAAACCAAGACTGTTTAACCAGGGGAGCTAATGGCACAAGGTTTTCTACGGGGGCAACAAGGGCTGTAGCTTAGGGGTGGAGCATCTGCTTCCCATGTAGAAGTTCCAGGTTCAATCCTTGACATCTCCCGGTAGGGCTGGTCATGTCGCCAGCTGAAACTCTGAAAAGCCCCCACCAGTTGACATAGGCAATACTGAGCCAGATGGACCAATGGTCGGATTCAGTATAAAGCAGCTTCTTGGGTTTTCTAGGTTGTGGCAGAGTTTTGCTTGAAGTGCAAACACAACCATTGCCTCTCTTATCATCAAAAGTGATTTCCCAACTTGCCTTCTGATTAATAACATGCCCTTGAATGTATTTTCTTTAGATTGAGCTTCAGCCAGATGGCTACTCTGTAGTTCACAGAAAATGTCATTCTCAGTTTACTGACACGGCTGATTACAGAAGACATGGGATCAACACATGGCAAGATGAGAGTGGGTTGTATGGTAATGCAGATCTAAGGCAGAAAGTATTTCCTGTAACTAGCCCTATACGGACAAATGGGAATGAAGATCATTCTTAAGCACTAGCAACTCTACAAAAGTAAAGTCTATCTTTGTATCTGATTATTGTAGAATCATACTGCAAAATAAACAACATTGCAACTTTTAGAATAGTTGGTTATAGAATAAATCCATATACAGTACTTATATAATGGATGTACCAAATTGGGATCCTGTTGTTAACCTGTTCAAAAAAACAAAATAAAAACCCAGATTACTGAAATTCTCTGTGATGGATTAAGCCAACAGATGTCAAGTTAGAGGAATTCTGTAAATTATTGTGCTTTGCTTAGGAAGGAACTGCATGTTACATTAGTTTGGGCTGCTGTCAAAAATAGCAAGTACATTTTAAATTCTCTTATAGCTTTCTGCTTATCCTTCCCACATCCTGCAACATGGTCTGCCATTGACAAGGGGGTCACTTAGTATGAATATATAGTGCTGTGATGATAAGATTTGGTTAGTCATCCTTTTATACACACTGGGGGTGGGGAGTTAATATGCATTTGCCATATTTAGTGAACACCACCTAAAACAGTTGGCCTACTTGCAGGGTCATCTATATCCTATCACTATGTTGGAAGCTGCCCAGAGTGGCTGAGGCAACCCAGTCAGATGGGCAAAGTACAAATAATAAAAATGGTTGTTGTTGTGTACTTGAATGCCCTGATTTTTTACCACCCTCCCTGTACAACTAGTATTTTCAGTAAGTCCCTTCCAAATGCAAGCTTAAGGGCACAATCCTGTGATCCCTGCAATTGGCCATGGCTGCCTCATGGATGTGAAAGCTGCCAAGGGAGGAGTCACCGAAGGAGGTTTGAGGTCTACAGGATCCAAAGCCATCCCTTTTTCTTGGCAAGGAAAGGAAAACACACCAACCCTATATTGGGTGTATTTGTTTTTCCTTCTGTCCCCCACACTGTTGGGATACTGCCAGGGAGACAGAGGCATCAGGCAGGCCCCCAGTCGTCTCTGGACGATCACCGGTCTCCCGTGGAACAGCATCAGTCAATTAGCAACACGAGCTACAGAGACATTCCAAGACCCGTGCACATCCTTTCAGCAGAGTCTCCACAACAAAAGGATGCAGACAGGAGAGCATATTTACAGCTTTATTCAACGTAGTTCAGAACAAAGGAAAAACATGACTGCTTGCCTCCGTGTCCAGGAAAACAGCCAGAACAAAAGCTATATACAAAACGGAAGTTCCCAGCGAGAAGCTGGAAGTAAACAAGTATGTGACACACAACAGCCTGTTCCCTTTTTAAGGTGGAATGGAACTATATCCTAACATCCTCCCCCTTTCCGTGTAACCTGTAGTACCTGTGGTTCAACCCAATTGCAACCTCTGTACATAAACCTTAAGTTGTTCTCTGTTAACAACCTTAGACAACAGATCAGCAGGAATTTCATTTCCTGGCATGTAGGACACCTGAATGATTCCTTTCTGAATACACAAGAGAGTGCATGATGTAACTTAATCTGCAAGTATTTGGTTCTTTGCTTGCAACTCTCTGAGTTCAGCAAAGCCAAACAGGATTTATTGTCTTGATACACCTGTATAGGACATTTTATAGAAACTCTGATGTCCTGAAACAGTTGCATCAACCATTCACAATCCATGAGTGAAAATGACAGGGCATTGAGTTCTGCTTCACAGGAACTTAGGCTTACTGTCGTCTGCTTTTCGCACAGCCAGTCAAAGAGACAATGGTTGTACATGTAGCATACTCCAGAACTGCTTGTACCATCCATGGTGTCACTTCAGAAACTAGCATCTGCAAAGATTTCAAGATCTCCCATCTTTTGACTAGTGAACCTCAACCTGTAATGCAAAGTCCCCTTCAAATAGCGGGCTATGCGCTTCAGAGCTTTCCAATCCTGAACAGTAGGATTGTTGGCATGTCTGCTAAACAGGTTAGTGCTTACAGCTGTGTCAGGTCTTGAACATCTAGCAATGAAATTCAGCTTGCCTAGAATGCATCTGTACAGTGTGGTGTCAGAAAATGCTTCAGCAGTACTATCTACCTGGTAACCTGCCACCATCGGTGTATCTGCTGGGTTTGCATCAACCAAATTCAGCCTGGTTAATACATCAGCAATTTTCTGTGTTTGGTGTACCAGAAAATTACCTGCTTGGTCCTTCTCCACCTGCAGAGGAAGATAGTTGGATACCTTACCAAGATCCTTCATGTCAAAGTGCTCCTTCAGCTGAGCTAGGGTGCTTTGGTACAAAGCCTGATTCTTCCAAAACAGAAGATCATCAACAAAACATAAACAATACAGTTTGTTTTGCCCCTCCTCCTTGACAAACACACATGGCTCAGCCTTGCCTTGGTGAAAATCTAGGGAAAGCAATGTCTCAGTGAGTTTTGTGTTCCAACACCTGGCCCTCTGCTTGAGACCATATAGGGATTTCTGTAGTTTACAGACCATTCCCTTCTGTATCTGCACTCCATCGGGTGGAAGCATATACAGTTCCTCCCCCAAAACCCTGTACAAAAAAGCTGTGTTCACATCATGATGAGAAATGTGCAGTTTCTCCTCTGCAGCAATCTTGAGCATTAGCCTAATGCTCTCATACTTGACGGTGGGTGAGTAGGTCTCGTGGTAATCCTGTCCTGGTATCTGTGAAAAACCATACCATACCAGGTGACCGACGTGGAGTTCCAGCCCCACCTGGCGGTGGCGGTCGGCCTGGGCCTTGTATGCCTCCTTGGCCTGGCACAGTTGCTCCATCAATAGTTGTTGTTGATACTGGAGCTCCTGAAGCCACTCTGTCACTGCAGGGGCCGCGGATGCCGGCAGCACATCCGGGAACAATCCGGGATCTTCTTCCTTTCTTTTTTTTTTTTTTTTTTTTTTTTTAAATTTTTTATTAGAAAAAGATTACAAAAAAATTACAATTCAAATGCCATATACATGCATACGTGCATTTAAAAAAGATGAGAAAAACAACAAGAAGAAAGAAGAAGAAACAAATTACAGATATTCCTATCCTATACCGAACAGGAATAAGAGAAGAGAACAAAGAAATAAAGAAAGAAGAAGAAACAGAGAAAAAGAGAAAAAAAGAAAAAAAGAAACAGACTTCCGTTCATCTTGGTATGGAATAACAAAAACATCAGATAATCTTTGCAGTAGTACTCATATTGATATTATACATCGAGGGTGTTAGTTATCTTCTGCTGTAATATTCTTAACGCCAATGTTATTTTTAACATACAATAAAAAATTCTTCCATTCATCTTTATGTTTCATATTGTTATTTTGCCTTATTTTCTGTGTTAGTCTCGCTAATTCTATATATTCATATAGTTTCACTTGCCATTCTCCGATTGAGGGAATATCAGAGGATTTCCATTTTTGTGCAAGTAAAATTCTCGCTGCACCTATCGCATATTGGAAGAAGGTTTGATCTGATTTTTTTATTTCCTCATCAATCATACCCAGGAGAAACAGCTCGGGTTTTTTGGGGAAGTTATACTTTAAAATTTTTTTCAGTTCCTCATGAATCTTTCCCCAGAATTCCTTTACCGCCTCACAGGTCCACCAGATGTGGAAAAAAGTCCCGATCTTATCTTTACATCTCCAGCAATTATTGTCAACAGTCTTATACATTTTACCTAGCTTTGCTGGAGTCAGGTACCAGCGGTACATCATCTTCTCAAGGTTTTCTCTAAGGGTTACACACGCTGTAAATTTCATACCCTTCCTCCAGAGTGTTCGCCATTTGCTATAATCAATATTATACCCTAGATCACTATTCCACTTTACCATCACGCCCTTCACCTCGTCCTCCCTTGTATCCCATTCTAGCAGTTGTTTATATAATTTAGAGAGGTGTTTGTCATTACTCTCTAGAATTTCTACCTGAAATCTTGATTTTTTATCCCTCATCCCCTGCTTCTTGTGCTCACCCCACAGTGCATTAATTTGATGAAAGAGTAGCCATTCTCTTATCTTATCTTTCAGCTCAACATAAGGTTTCATCTTCCATCCATCTTCAGTCTTTGTCAGCAAATCCTCATAAGTCCATCTTTCTTCCGTCATATTTGGTTTTTTTAATCTGATAATATCCACTGGGGAGAGCCACCAGGGGGTCCCATTTTCAATCAGTTTTTTATATCTGTTCCACACCGCCAATAGTGAACCTCTAATTATGTGACTCGAAAACCCTCTATGCACCTCACCTTTCCCCTGCCACAGGTAAGCGTGCCACCCAAACCTAATATCAAAACCCTCCAAATCCAATAAATCCGTATTTTTGAGGGTGGCCCATTCCCTTAACCAACTTAAACAGGCTGCCTCGTGATATAACCTTAAGTTCGGTACCGCAAAACCCCCTCTCTCTTTCGCATCGGTCAGATATTTAAACTTTATCCTGGCTCTCTTCCCTTGCCAGATAAATTTAGACATCGTTTTTTGCCAGTTCTTAAAACGAGTGCCTCCCTTAATTATTGGGATATTTTGAAACAGGAACAATAACCTTGGGAGGATACACATTTTGATCGCCGCCATCCTCCCCGTCCAAGAGAGTTTCAGCCTCTGCCATATTTCCAAATCCTTTTTAATTTCTTGCCAAATCTTATCGTAATTATCTTCAATTAAATTTATATTTTTTGGGGACAGCCAAATTCCCAGGTATTTTACCTTATTCACAATTTTAATACCCGTCCTTTGTTCCAATTGAGTTTTATCCTCCTCTGCCAGATTCTTTGTTAAAATTTTTGTTTTCCTCTTATTTAATTTAAATCCTGACAGTCTGCCGAATTTTTCCAACATTTCTATCATCTTACATGCGCTATCCAGTGGCTCTTCCAAAGATAGGACTAAATCATCGGCGTATGCCTTTAGCTTGAATTCTTTCCTTCCAATCCTGATCCCCTTCACCTCTACTGCCTCTCTTATTCTGTTTGCAATAACTTCCAGGACCGTTATAAATAACAAGGGGGACAGAGGGCAACCCTGTCGGGTTCCTTTCTTAATCTTAAATGGTTTGGTCAAGTTGTTATTTATGATCAGCATAGCCTGTTGTTCCGAATATATTGCTTTAATACCTTTCAGATAAGGGCCCTCGATACCTGCCTTTTTCAGACATAGTAATAGGAATTCCCAAGAAACATTATCAAACGCCTTCTCGGCGTCTATAAAGATCAGGGCGGCTGGGGTATCTATCCTTGTATCTAAGTATTCGATAATGTTTAATATATGACGGACATT